TGCCTGCTTGGTTCAAATTTATCGGTAATAATCTCTTCCTTAGTTTGAATAGCTTTGATAATATCGCTGCAATCAGCTGCTAGAGACATAACTTTTTTATTTTTTGTTTCTAATTTATTTGCAATGTTGTTGATTTTAGTTGAGTTTTCGCTTCCGACTTTTTCATTCTTTTCTAATCGTTCAGTAAGTATTTTCATATTTGCTGCCATTATTGATGTGAATACTTTTTTACGATCTTTTAATAGCTTTCTTTTTTCTTCTAGAATATCATTCTTCTGTTTTTCGAGTAATTCAGAAATTTTCTTTGTATTTATTTATAATTTTTAAACGTTTATTTATAAAATTTATTTTATTGATTTTTTTTTTTTTTGCAATTAAAACGCGTCTGTTTACTACAATGTGTATGCGTTTATCAACCACACAATGTGTCAATCACACTATTCACACAATGTGTGAATTAATACACATTTAATACACACAATGAACACAAACACTTAATACACACAACTTAATACACACAACTTAATACGCACAACTTACACTTAATACACACAACTTAATACAAACAACTTAATAAAATAAAACAGCTAAATACAAAAACTTAATATAAACTTAATATAAACAACATAATATAACAAATAAAAAATTAATACAAACAACTTAATACAAACAACTTAATACAAAAATAATTAATACACACAACTTAATACACACAACTTAATACACACAACTTAATGCACACAATGTGTCAATCACACTATGTGTCAATCACACTATATATATAAATCAACCACACTATTAAAGACCATGTTTCAAAACCGCTACAGAAAACAAGGTGATAGTTGTAATTCCAAACTTCCAACTGGCATTCTTTTATTGATATAAATTTTTTTATTTCATTAAGCATTCTAGCATGTCTAATTAATTTTTTATTTGACATTCTAAAAAAAAAAAGACATTTAATTTATAAAAAAAATTATATTTTATTATAAAAATTTAAAAGTACTTGTTGCTTACTAGTAATGATTTCAGGTGGTTATTAAAGCTGCTGGTTTTCAACGTTTTCTTTATACGGAGGTGGATTATACGACATGCTTTCTTCGTAAGAACGAGGTTTTACAATTTTTTTGTTAAATTTTTTACAAATGTCCGCTCTTCCAATTTGTTTCAAAAGTTCCAAAATAAGTTTAACTTTTGATTCTATGGTCGAATATTCAAAGTGATTGTAAGCAAAGTTCTTTTGACTGATATAATCCATCAAGTCAATACCATCATTAATTTTCTCTCGAACTCCAAAAGGAATATCCAGTATCATTTTTAATCTTTTCACATGTTTTATTGTAATATGATCGGCCAATTCTCTCAAGATCAAATTGTTCATTTTTATATGAATCTAAAAAAATACAAGAAAAATACAAAATAAAATTATTCTAAAGAAACGCGTATAATAAGTTTATTGTTTTTTATAAAATCTTTTATGAGTTCTTTATGTGAAGCAAAATGTTTTGATCCAACAGCTATATTGTAAGCTTGTCTTACAATATAGCTGTTGGATCTCTTCCATTTCTTTTTTCATTTCTTTATAGTCAGCACCTTCTATAACGTTTTGTATAGATTGAATTAAATTTTTAATTTCTTTTTCTTGCAATTCTTTTTCCGCCTTGGATTTTGTAATAAGTTTTTCGATATCAGAGTCCTAATAGTCCATTCGTTTAGTCAGAGCGTCCAATTGAGTATTAACAGTTACTAAACTAATTAGAATGTTGTTGGTAGTCATGTTTAAAAAAGCTAAACTTTTTTTTGATCCATAATAGCTTCTTATTGTCTTTCCATAATTTCCTTCCATTCGTTTTGAAAACGACTCAAACAGTTAGCTGCGTGTTGATCTATAATATTTTTTGGAATTTGGTACGAACAATATTATCAGCTGCTTTTTCAAGTGCAACATCACATTCATGTTCCCAAGTTCCCAAGTAATTTACAGTAATAACAATAGCTAAAAACCATTGCTTCTGCCATTTTATTATTTTGCTACAAAAAAATAACTAATTAAAAAATTACGCTTTTATTAAAATTTGTATTAAGGGGGTTGCCCAAGAAATAAACTTTTTTTTGACCCTATGAATTTAATTAACCAAATTTTGGTATAAATGGCTGGTCTCAAGTTAAAAAATATTTCAATCACACCAAGTTATTTTTTTGTCTCGATTACCCTATTTTATCGCTAAAATGAGACAAAAAAATACAGTATTTTAAAACACAATATCTGCAGATATGAAATTAGTTACCAAATCAAATTTTCAACAGAGATTGAGAATGATGGTTTAATTTATTTGACATATCAACTTTTTGATTGACTCACTTAGCCAAAAGTTAAGTTAATCTTTTTGTAAAAAGAGTGTTTAAAACATAGTATTATTTGTATAAACTTTACAAATTAAGAAGTTAAAATTAACATGTTATTCAATCAAGCATTTAATAGCACAATTAAAGAATGTCAATAAGCAAATTTACTTTAATAAAGCAACATAAAAACTTTATGGAAAAGATCTAAAAAAGTTTTTTTAAGAACCAATTGTAAGGGATATGGTTCATTCTACTACTAATGATATTTATTTTTATTAACTTATGTAAACTTTTGTAGAGTTAAGATTTTTCAAAAGCTAAAAATTATAAAAATGAAAAGCAACTTAAAAGAAATATTGTTATTGAAAAATGAAGCAAGTTGGTGCCGCAAACTTTTTTTTTATTTTTTATGGAGGATTACACACTCTCATTGAAGAAATAATTGGTTTTGCCAAGAAGTTGAAGTTTGTTTAATCGATTTCTGCAAACACCAAAAATGTAGCCACCTAAATGCAAGGTAAAGTTAGCACGATTTTAAAGGTAAAAGAGTTTAGCAAAGTGATTTTTTAGAGGCATAGATGGAACTTAACAAAAAACATTAAAAAGTTATACATGAAAACAATAATGTTATGAATTCAAGCTCCATAAAAAATGCACGGCAAAGAAGAAATCTCTTTTTGATAATTACCTGTAAAACTAATTGAAATAATAATATACTCAAAGCTAATATTCTTTGAATTGATCGCATTTTAATGAGTGGAATTTCTAAATTAAGTCCGCAAACATTGTAATGCTTTTGATTTAACCGCCTCTTAATGAGTCAAGTTGAAGCGGGTGGAGTTTTCGAACTGTATAAGCCAATAACTATCTTTATGTTTTTGATTCAATCGACTTTTAATGCGTAAAAAAGTAAAAACTTCTTTAGAAGGGAAACAACCGGGGGCGTTTACAGGAAATTTTTTGGGTTAGTCTAAAAAACAAATGTCCTCCTCCGCCTTCCTATTTTTTTAGGGAGAGGGAGGGGGACCGGAATTTTTTGCTGAGTACATTTTTATATAACTTTATCAATAACTTTTAATAATAAACAATTTTTATAAATACTTAGTGTCAAAAAACTTATTGCAATAACTGTACAACCCAGTCACAAGTTTGATATCATACGGATACCAATATGGTATCAAACTTTAAAATTTATGATATCAATATATGATATCAATATGATATCAAAATGAAATCACTCGTTGAAATCATTCTGAACTCAATACCTGATATCATACTATGAGAAGTTTTTGATAAGATATCAAAACGAAATCACTCATTTATATCATTCTGAAATCAAAGGCTGATATTATAACATGAGAAATTTATGATACCAATTTGATATTAAAAAATAATCAATCATTGATATCATTCTGAACTTAAAACCTGATATAAAATTTTGATTATAAAAACAATTTTTCAAAGTGAGGAGGGCGAGGGGAGGGGGGGCAATTTCGCTAATTAAAAAAAAATCGTCTATTTTGTAAAAAAATTCAGTTAATAAAAAATAGGTCCTTGAAAAAGCGAGTTTAGTAAAGTAAGAAATTATAGTAAAGTTTTAAAGGGGGTAAAGTAACTGAGTTTATTCAAGGTAAATGGGTAAAAGCATAAATATTGACTTATTAAAAAAATTGAAATCAAAATAATACAAAGAGGCATTAAAACTAAATTACAAATAAATGTTGAATGTTCTATTTTAAAAATCAATAAATCACTTTATAGCTCATTAAGCATCTAACGAATACCAAATATGGTTAGTTAACTTGTAGAGCTTTTCAACTGTGCACAAATGATAAAATAACTGCTGCTGCTAGATTATCAGGTTCAAAATAAGACAGCGGTATTATTATGGCCTTTGATACAAAATCATCAAAAGGTGTATACAACATTTCTGTATGCTTGTTGTTTACCTTGTATATACCAACAAGTTTAGAATTACAAGAAGAGCTGAATAAAATTTCTGTTTTGATATAGACTTGACCAAGAACACTTTTAGCATTATTATTTATTGAGTCAATGACACAAAAACTTCCGCTCTTCAGACGATAGCATTCGTTGATCTTTGGATTAAAATTTAGCTTTTTTTTATAGCTGACATATTGTTTTCAAATGGATAGGCTGTCACTCCATCTAAACAACCATATCTCTCTGCTGCTAAAGTTAAATGGTTTAAACAATGAAAATTATAAGTTAATAGATGATCGGAGTAGAGCAGTCTGGTGTTGTCCACAAAGCTACTTAGAAACTCTTGAGCATAACCTTTATACTCAGTCATCAAATCTTCAGGGGCGGGTTTTATCACTCACCAAGGGTGGGGGGCTATTTAAAGTTCAAAAATTTACTAAAAGGGTCATTTTCAAATTACGTCACATTCTAAGGGGGAGGGGGGCTTAGTTGTTTTATGACGACTCGTAGGGAACTTGTCACAAAAGCGTGACAATGGGGGTAAAAAAGTTGCTTGACGTAATTAATGGATTTAATTTATCGAAAATTTATCTACACACACCAAGCTTATTAAGATCGCCTGTTTATTAATTTTTAGTTGTTATCAACAAAAATTGAGTCGCTATCAATTTTTACCCGAAACCAATCTTCAAAATAGAAACATACAAGTATTAACAAAAATGAACCGTTTATCTATAAAATAAATGCAACATTACAATATAAATTCAATGTTTCTTTTTTAAACTCTTGAAAACCGTTCAATAATGCTATCTGTTGACAATTTCTTTTCCCTATGAACATAAATTAGAGCTAAACCATTCAATCTATCTTGGCTCATTCGGGATCGTAACCAATCTTTTAATCTAGATTTAAATTCATTTTAGTTAAAAAAACAAAATTATTTGGTTATTAATTTAATAATGTAATTTTTAATATAGATATACCTTCTCAAAGAAGAAAAACTTCTTTCAGCTGATGCAATTCTTTCAGATGATGCAATGCTAATAGGCAGATAACCAATAATTAAAAGTATTGTTCTTATACTTGGGAACAATATATCTGGACAATAATCCAAACCATCTAATACTGCAGATGGTAGATAACCTCCTTATAAATAAGATATTAATTTCTTATGTAGATAATTTAGACTTAAAAAAAATTTAAAATAGATGTTATATTTACCTTCATTTTTAACTCTGGTCCATTTTGCAACCCACAAGTCAAGTTAAGAAAAAAAACTGTCGTTTCTCTATGCAAATAAACGAGTATTCGTTACCAATAATGTCAGCAATTATATTCATATCATGTACTTTAATAGCAACAACATGGCTTGGTATAAGAAGTAACAGTTTATAAACAGTTACATTTTTCTTACTTAAATATCTATATTTTAAATCATCAAGGACATGATCATACAGTGGATTATAAACAGAAACTCTAAAGTGTTCTTCGACTGATAAAGTATTTATATTTGGTCTGTGTATTTGATACTTAGTAATACGAGGTAACTTTAGTTCCACATCCAATTTTTCCATAAGTGGTTTTCTTTCTATAAATATTGTTTTAAAATTTATAAAACAGTTAGACCGCCTATTTTCCATAATTTTTATAATATCCTTAAAGCAATCTTCTGCAAAATGTAGGTCTTTTTGAACACTTTGAAGTAGTTTACTTGCTGGTGACGTTAAGTTGAGTAACTCTGAGAGTATAAATAATGATATTATAAATTGACATGTAGTTAATGAACTTAAAAAAGAATAGGCCTTTACTGATGAATCATCATCTTGCCATTCGGTTATAAGGTTCAGAGATTTAATAATATGGTGTAGAGAATTCTTAAATATCAAAACGCTGTCGTGTCTTTCAATCCACATTGTTTCACATAAACTCATCAAATATTTTTCTTTACCAAACACTATTTTAAGAACATGATTTCTTTTGGCTGACATATTAAAAAATTTAACAGTTTCTTTAATAATACCAACAGAGTCTCTAATTGCCACGACACTAGATGATTTAGATATTGATAAATTTAAACAATGATTGGTACATGGACTTTAAACTGCATTCGGAGTTGCATTTGATTAATTATATTTAACAGCACTACGAATTGTAGATGTCATAACCGAGCAACCAACAGTTGCGATTCCAACACAGTGTTTCAAGTTTAAATTTAAACTTTTTAGAATATTAACTACTATTTCTCCAAGAACATCACCTGTGAGTTTTGGTTCAATAATGTTGCTTTCTGTATTTTCTAAACATTCTTCATTATGATTGATTTGTTCATCCTGGTTTGACTTTTGCTTATTATAAAAGTATGTGTGACAATTTATGAATGAAACAAAATTTTCTTTTATTTTTTCATCAAAAATATATCTTAAAATTAGAGTCATTTGAGATGAATGCGATACATCTGTAGTTTCGTCTAATATAATACTGTAAAACTTATTACATTTAATACCTGACAATATTTTATAAATAATTTCATTATTGCAGGATTCTATTATTTCTTCTTGAACAGTATTACTTATATATGTAGCTTTAGCATGAGTTGTGTTAAGATGATTTTCTAATATCTTATCGCCAGATTTTGTTCGAAATCTTAAAAGTTCTCTAAAGTTCCCTTCATTAATAACAGATGTTTTTATAATAGTATCAATTAATAGATCTCCATCATCCTATGCCCTCTAAGAGGAATGCTTTGTCTTGCTAAAAAAATTATTGACTCTATAATAGGTGTAATTCTTTCTCTATTTTTACTTATTTGCCTTTTTCTTTCACTGTCAATCAAATTAAGAACTTCTTTTTCTGGCTGCTCACAACGGATTAAAAACTCGTCAGCTTGTAAAACTGCATTTTTGTGATATAAATCATTTTGGTGGGATTCTAGGTCGCCATCTTTTCCAAGTAGTTTTGCAAATGTACTTAATGGTACAGAGACTAACTTTTTTAATGGTTCAGTATTTCTCAACACCCCAGTATTATTAACTAGGAAAAGTACACAAAATTTACAGAATAACCCAGATTTTATTGATGAATATGCTAACCAAGGAAATTTTGTTTAGTGAGACTGATTTAGGTATCGTTTCACTTCTTTGCCTTATTTAACATGCGTTGAAAAAGGAGAAATAAAATCAGATCCAGTCAAACAGTTTTTTTTAATTAATC